TCAATGTTTAATGGGTACAGAGTTGTAGTTGAGGAAGATGAAAAGCTCTGGAGATGGATGGTGGTGATGGTGTACAACAATGTGAATGGTACTTAACACCACTGAACGATACACTTTAAAATGGTTAATGATACCTTTTGCTTATGTATATTTTACCACAGCTGAAAAACAAACAAAAATCAGGAAGTTTGCCTACCACACATATTATGAGATTCTGGGCCTTGTTTAAATCCTGTGGAGAATGTCAACATGTTTTTAGCAGGCATTCAACCTTAGTTCAGGTTGCAAGTTCCAACCAGTCTTCTGTGGGTCTTAGTTCCAGTGTCAGTTCAGTTTTCAAAACCTTTGAAGCACTGTTCGGATCTCTCCCACGTGAGCACCGCTCGGTAGCCAGCCTGTGCTTGTAGGGTTAGAGCCATGCATGCGCATCTCAGGGGTGAGCCCAGGAATTCATTTGAAGGGGTTACTTTCCCAAGGACCTCCCTCTCCATGATCTCCCTGGAACTTCCCCGCCTTGCCCTTTTGGTCCTCTGGCTGGAAAGTTGGTGCTCTGTGGGTCACTTCCTGGGACTGTGCTCACCTCCCAGACCAAGTGGGAGGACAGACAGAGCTAAAAAGCAAAAGGAGTTTCCCTACCCTCTCGGGACAGCAGCTCCTCCAGTCCAGAAGGGCAGCTTCCTTCCCAGAGAATTTAGGTGCCTACTGGTTCCCCTACTGCTGCTCCTTTTGTCACAGGGTTGCTTGGGTTTGAGGCAGGCAGGGAAAAACAGAGCAAAAAGAAAGAATAGGGAATTTCCCCCACTCTCCCTGAGCATCCACTGTTTTCTTCCTGGCTCCTTGACCAGAGGGCTTCTCCTGGAGAGCTCTGTGTCCAGCCCTGAGAACCACTTGTGTGTTTCAGGTTTCCATGAGTACGGGCTGGGGCACGTGGAGGTGGAAATGGCAAAGTCAGGCCATTTCGGCAGTATTTTGAATCCTGCCTGTCTTCTTCAGTGCTTCTGCTACTATTTGCTTTCCAGAGTCCTCAGATAGCTGATGCCTGCATTCTACACAGGCGTGGCAGCCTTCACCTTTGCCTAATCTTAAGGCTGGCTCTGACTTTGGCATTTAACAAAGGGCTCCATCCACCCACCTCTAGTCCCCATTTACCGTACCCATTTATTCTATGAATGAGCACTGATCACCTACTATGTACCACAAACTATGAGGGTTAGAGAAACAGCCCATCTTTGAAGTGTTGAGAACACAATTCCCTGCTAGACACAACTTGCTGGATTTCACCCTGGCTTTTTCTCCACTCTCTGCTTACACTCACAGTAGATCTGTGAAGTGAGTGGACTCTGTTGCTTCCTTGAAAAGGCATGTCTGTGTATGAGCCTGAAGCCATCCTCACATGTGCACTCTGTGGGTGTGGCTGAGGGCTTTTTTGGAAAGAGACATACTTTCAAACACACAGGTTTGTGGTTTTTGAAAGAACAGAAAGCATAAAGCATAACATCTTGCAGGATTACTTTCTGCTCAAGACCAATTGACGTGACATCTGAAAATAATCAAATAAGTGTCTTGTTTTCAGTCTGCAAATGACTTTGTGAAACTTGGGAAGGAAATTCTCCACTTAAGAAAAAAATCTTAAAAAAATTGAAATTGAGATCGGGGAAGAACAAAGATGGGGAATTATGAGAGTGCTTTGAATTGTTAATAGCACTTACATTTATAAAAATGAATCTCTCTAAAACCTGGAAGTGGCCTAATAATTTTAAATCCCCTCACACAGCACATGCCCCAAACCCTGATAACGTCCAAATTCAATTGCTTATGACCATGTTTTTTGGAGCATTCCAAAAACTTGAAGTTGCTGCACAATGCACTGAACTCAGGATTTAAAATTATTGAAATCTTTGATATTTTTTTCCCTGTAAGTTCTTACGTTTGGAAAGAAGTTAAGGTACAGTCTAATCCCAGGGGATCCAAATATATTGAACTGATTTTTTTTAATGGTTTCAGCCAAGAAAACAGAAATTGAACTGAACATCATGATGAAGAGAATGAAGACGGGCAAAGAAAAGGCTGAAGGCGGTACATACAAAAGTCTAAAGTCCAAGGAGACGCTGGACCTCTCCCGGACTGGAAGGTGAACAAGTCTGCTGGCCAAGGTAAGACAGATTAAGGCACGCTGGCAAGAATAATCGGAGGCAAACGAAATTGCACGTCATCAGAACCCTGGACTCAGGTAAGAAGAGACTGGAGCAAAGAGAAACTTGCCTCCAGCTTCAGTGGTTAAGAGGTGACTTCAAGTTCCTACAGCATTTCATTAATATCCAAGTCAAGTGTTGCTAATATCCAGTGTGGATGACAGACAGTTGGACTTTGTGCATTTCTGGTTTCTAATCATGCATCTGAGATTTTTTTATAGCTGTCCTTGTGTTAATCCTTTACAGTCTTTTTCCTCCCTGGGGTTTAATGGTTTCTAGTTACCTATCAGCATTTTCATAACGGTTTCTAGTTACCCGTCAGGCAAGACATGGCTTCTGATGGTTGTGGGCTGTGGGTCACCACCAGCTCTCTGGAAGGACAAGCGCTCGCCTGAACCGCACAGCAAACTCCCTTGTACGATTGGAGCATGCAGTGCAGGATCAGGGCGCACGCTAGAAATAGAACCAAATGCCTTTTGCAGACAGCAGCTCAATGAGGTTTCCTGCCATGAGGCAAAATGCTTGGAAAGTTACTCTGCGCTGGCATCACTGGGTTTGGGGTCAGTGTGCTGAAACCGGGACTCATTACGCTCCTACCATGCCAACTTGGTGCAATTAGCCTAACACAATAATTTCCTGAAGCCATATGTTGATCTTTAGGGGAGGGAAAAGGCTTCGTCTGCCTGATGGCTCTGAGCTCTGACTGGCACGTCCCAGCTTCGAGCACATCTCTATAAGTCAAGATAACACACATGGCAATCAGAGATGAGGTAGGACAGCCAGCCTGGAGAGAAGCAGGCAACTTGGAGCAGGGCTGCGTACTTGTTGACTGTTGTAGTGCGTTGGTTTTCTCTTCTTTTCAAGGAAGGTTTCAGGGAAAGGTCAAGGGAGCACCACTGTGTGCAAGACTGTCTGTCTCTCCCTCCTTCCCCTTCTCCCCCCAACATAAAATCGATGGAAGGACCTAGAACAGAGTAAGTTATGTTCCTGGGCTGCATGGCTTGTATTCCCATTGGAGACCTATCAGCGTGAACTGGCACTGTTGGGAAATCTCTTCAGCTACCCCTGCTAATCAATACCTCTGTTCATTATGTCTCTGATGAATATGGGTAATGATTGGGTGCCTGAGAGTCAGGTGACTAAAAATAACTGCACCTTACAGAGGATCGATAGATTTCCCCCCAGTATTACTTGAGGCACTTCGATATTCTCAGCTGCCCCTCCCGAGCCCCCAGGCATGAGATCATCTCTGGTCTTCATTGATAGATCGGCTCCATCCTCAGAGCAGCTTTATTAAATTAGTAGCACTTAATCTACTGTCATACTGTCAACTGACACGGGGCAGACTAGCAGTCGGCAAGTCTTCCAGTGGCTCAGAAGAGCAACTGGCCGCAACCCAGGCAGCTCTGATTAGCTTTGTGCCAAGAGTTGAATTCATGGGGGCCTCTTCGCTAAAAAGGAGGATTTCCACCATTTAATAACATTTAAAACAATTTTTTTTTTTTAAAGAAGAAGGAGCTGTTTGAGGGAGGATTCTTACCAATTACAGACATGTTATGACTGATGAAAAGATCATAATTATGCTTGGATTCCCTGTAGGGGTGCGTTAACACATCCGTGACATTTAATAACCACATGCCTCAGTGGAGGTTGACTTCCCCCAAATTGTTTCACCTTTCATTTCTTCGCTCTCACCCCCGAAACCGTCTGTGGGTGCTCAGAGGAAATTGGAGGGGGGGCTCCCCCCGCTCGCCGTCAATGCTTGGTGGTCGGCACCTTTGCTACCTTGAGTGGGACCCTCAGTCAGTGGTACCTGAAGCTGGCTGGCCAGTTCCTTTCTGTGGGTCTGATGACAGCCAGACAGGTACAAGCAGCCTGTCCAGTCCCTTGCTGGTCAGAGGCCTGGGGCCAAGGGGGTTGCTAGAGAGTCTGGGTAGCTTGTTTCTCTGGGTCAGAGGCCAGAGGAAATGGGAGAAGGGGGTGGTACAAGCCGGGGAGACTTGGATAAGTGTGGCTCCAGGGATGGAAAACAGGAACTACTACATTGGAAGGGAGACTCCAGCAGAAGTTGTAGTCTGGGTTAGCCTAATGTTTAGCTAGAATTGGTTTAAAAGGTGGGGTAATAGGAAACAGTTGCCGAGTCAGAAGCACCCTATATGCCTCTTCCCATTGGCCTCAAGCAGTATGACAGGAGATGTCATCTGCTAGTTTTATTTCTAGATGATAACATCTTTCCATCTGCTAGTTTTATTTCTAGATGATAACAAGCACAATCTGCAGAAAACCACTGTCAAGAGAATATAAACTGAAACACAAGTATCTAGCATGAAAAAAGCATATATATAGTCATCATCGTGTTGGCTGCTGTCCACAAATTTCACAGGGTCAAGGTGGAAGATATTTGCAGAAAGCCAAGGGGCAAAGATACCTAAGGTCTTCCTTTCCTTAAAAGAGCTTGTGCCAAGGCTTTGGGGACAAGAAATTCTTGAGAGACACTGGAAAAGCATCCCCAAGGGGATAGCTTTAGTGAGAAAAGGCTCAGTCAGTGTTTGCTGGGTTGCATCGGGACTGGCTAGGATCTCCGTAGCTCTGACTCAGCTTTGCCATCTGAGCAAGAGATGAGTTTGATCTTCCTAAGAAGTGAATTCAGTAATACCATAATTCAGACCAAAATGAAGGCTGAGTTATCCAACAAGTGTGCTTAAATAAGGGTGAGTCACGATGTGGGCTGAAGTGTTTCTAGGTGTGTTTTATAAAGGTCTCTTGGAGTTTGTTGAGGTTTCTTCAAATCAAGAAGGTAAGAAGAGATCAGTGATAAATCTTTAATATAAAAATTGTACAAGAATTTTGATACAAATTACAAGAGGTATTTGGACAAAATATGAATAAAATTCCATTTACATCCCCAAACCCTTATGCATTTTATGCAAAAGACATACTGTAGACAGTTATAGTACAGAAAATACAACAAAAGAAATAGCAAATAAAAACTTTTAATTCCCTCAGACTACTAATAAAAACAAACCGAAAAGCAAAACCAAAAACGAAACAAAAACAAAACCCTTGTTCAAGGTACATACAGTATTTACGAAGCTACCGACGTCACAATGATTAGATCAGGGTGATGCAAGCTGTCCCCGTCCCTTGGTGCTGCGCCCTTTTGTAGTGCAAACTTTGGTTCTGTGGCAGGCTGAGCAGAGAGGCTGGTCTGATGCAGAGGAGAAGAGAAACGAAAAAAGCATAAACCCCCAAACTCTGGGAGGAGGGAGAGGATGTATCTTGGAGAAAATTCTTTTCCTTAAGATATTTCAATTCCCTTGGGCCAATTTTGCTGTCAAATAGGCAGGTTGAGTCAAATGTTTTTGTTAGCGAGACACACCAGTGGGTTTGGGGTGAATAAGAAAGTTAGGCGTTCTCTCAACCAGGTGAGGGGTCTTGCTAGTTCCAAAAGGCCTAGTCCCTGAAGAGCAGTAGAGAACGGAGAGCTTTCTTTCCTGAAGCCCCAACTCGCCTCCACCTTTGAGGAAAGGCCCAGGGAGGCCTCACACCAAAGTCTTCTCCTGGTTTCTCCGCCTTCCCTCACCCCTCAGACCTCCAGATACCCACGTTTAGCAATCCTGCCCTTGTTCGTACTGGCACTGGTAGGAAAATGGTAAGACTTTTCTGCAGGGCAGCTGAACCAAAGTTTGCACAGGAAAGTGAGAGCACCATATATTATAAATCTTAGTCATATAAGCTTAATATATAATGCTAGAACATCTCATTCACTTAATCCACGTTATGTAAACCCTGGACAGGGTAGAACACACAAATGTTTCCATAAGCCATCAAAATCCGGGTGAGGGAGGGAGTGTTCTACCTTCTTGCTTCAGAAAAGAATTTTTTTAAGGGGTGGGTGAGATCAGAGGAAGAAAGGGCAGGGGTGGAAATATAATGGAAAACTCAGGGGAGATTAAGATGGGCAATGAGAGGAATGGATTGCTCTGTACAAAGACATGCAAAAATGCTCCAAATTGAGTACTAAATGAAAAAAAAAATTCAACCTTGGTTTATGCATCTCAAGTGAACCTACTAACTCAGCACGTTGTCTGGGAGTCAAGAGCATCATACCTCGTGAATCACCGCTTCTCATGGCTACGGCACTGATTCACAGGCAGGGCAGGGGGATGCTCTGTCTCCTAGCATGGAAAGGACGGGCAGCCTGTCTCCTGTGGAAACAGCGCCAGGTCAGCTCACCTTGCAGCGGGGGACTACCAAGCGGGCTGGGCTTTTCTCCCCTTCTTGTGGAAAGCATTTCCAGGGCCAGATGAGTGGAGCTCTCGCACACATCCAGGGCCACCCCCCGCCCCGCCCCCGCCCCGAGTCACCTCTCAGTCCTTGCATTCCGTAACAGAAGTGGGCAGAGCCGGTTCATAATGGATCGATTTGCCATCTTACTTGTGCATTATTTCAGCATCACATTTGGCAACAGGAAGCCTTATAAACTCTCGGTATAACGCTTAGATATTCTCTCTTCAAGAAATATAGTTTTATACTATCTACTTCTCTCCATTCTTGTTAAAATATCTTTTTCTGCTCTTCCTTCCCTTCAAAGAGTCTTTAAAAAAAAAAGGAAGCTAGAAACACATTAAAATAATTGGGAGTGTCCTTAAGCATCCCTGTTATTTAAAGGGTGGGGGAAAGGTCATATTAGTTAGCAGAATCTGTGCAATTCTGGCAGCTGAATTTTTAATTAAGATTCTCTTAAGATGTTTGCTAAATGATTGTAATATATACATACTGGGGGAACTTCAAAAAACATCAACTGCTTTTTCTCTGACCCCAAGAATCCTTTACTCAAAGTGCTTTTCTTCCCAGTCCTAAGTGGTTAATGCAATTATTTTAGCACGGGTTTGTCAACACAGACCTGGTAAGTCGTCTGTCCCTAAATCTGCCACTTGTCTCTTTGCGTAAGTTAGTATCAAAGGTGACACCCACCTGTATCTTAGTGGGTTGACAAATAGATTTGAAATGTGACTGTTCAAAGCGGGGTTGGGGGGCGGGTCATCAGCTTCTAACAGACCTGCTGCTGGAGGGTTAGAAGGAAGCATGGAGTCCCCTAGTTCCCCAAGGACGATGCACACAGAGATGTCGCACTTCATTTAGCCACCAACTAGCCACCTTTTACCATCCTTTAAGTAGTTTAATATACAAAAATAGCAGCCAATACCTACATGCTTTTCAGGCTCAAGATGTTTGGGAAGATAACACTTTCATGTGATCTTCCTTTGTACCTTTTGTCCCCTAGTCACTTGATTTCGTAAAGCTCACGCGCTTGTACTTACCAAAATTTTCCCAAAGTGGAGAATTTACTTTTACGTATAGGGTGGTCTCTGTTTTAGTGATTCAAGTCAAAGTCCCCGTGCCTTATTATTTTTTTCAGATTGTCAGTCCAATTAAACAAAACAAAGGTGAATTTGTCTTGTTACACTATGGATTTGGAGGTTCTCATGGCAAGACACGTGTTCATTCAGACTAACAGTTGGGCGTCAAAACTAAAAAAGAAAAAAAAAAATTTTTTTTTTTTTTTTTTTTTACCACCACGCACAACCAATTTGTTACAACACGTGCACTTTTTGAAGGGGAGGAAAAACATTTTAATGCTTTCCTTACAGAATATGGGGCGATCTAATACCACTTTTGTCACTGACTTGCAGAAACTGTGCTCTCATTATAGGGCCACACCCAGTACTCCCAAAATGCATGGGCTTGGAATTGCAATACTTAAGTTTCCAAAGACTCAAAGGATGCCATCAAAGTCAGCATCTCTCTACTGACCCTTAAGAAGTAGTCTTGTTACTGTCCACTTAATAGCTGGAGAGGGCACCTTGAGGCAGCTTTGGGCTTACCAAAGATACAGTTTAGTGGGTGTGTGTACGGGCTCATGTGCTGGGAGGAGAAGGGGGTGGGGGGAGAGAGACAGACAGAGAGAGAGAGAGAGAGAGAGAGAGAGAGAGAGAGAGAGAGAGAGACTGTGAATGTGTGTACATCAGGGAACTCAGTGGGAAAGCCTAGCCCTTGTACTCAATTTCCCCTTCACAAGGGATAAACAGGCAATTACGCATCCTTTTATATTTGATGGCCAAGTGCTGAACTGGAAAGCACACTATTAGTTTGTGTCCCTTCAGGGCCAGGGCAATAAGTAGCCAGGAGACCTGGAGCTGAAGCAGAGAGGGTGTTGTCTGCTGTTAGTGTGACAGTCTTGTCAGCAGCGTTCACATTACTGGAAGGTAATAAAGTGACAAGTAAGTTATTAGAAAGATATGAGGTGAAATTGAACTGAAGCTTCTCGATGCTCAGCCTGGCTTTTTCCCTTCCTCTTTTGTAACCCTCCACTATTTGTTACAAACTGAGCCTTGTCTTGATACACTATATAGAAAAGATTTTTTTTTTTTTTTGCAGTAAAGGTCAAATGAATTTACAACACTTCAGAGGAGAATAAAGATAGTTTTATGACAACTATAGTACGTTACTTCAAAAAAATATATAGCATTATAATGAACAATAATGCTGATCCAATTCAGTGTACTTGTAAAAATGCTTAGGTTTTTTTTTAAAACCCCTGTGATTAGGCATTTGGATTTTTCAACAAATGCCAAAAAGACACTATTTGATGTCCAGTTATTGCCGAATGACCATAAACATCATTTTTGTGCAAAATGTGGGAAGAATGAGGATGATGGGAGGACACAGGAAAGGATGGGTGTCTGGGCAAGAGTGATGTTAGATTAATTCACTAGTCAGTTTTACAGCTGGATTTACGTAATACTAACGGAAAATTAATGTTTACAGTGAGCAACTCTCCAACTATAGGAAATAGGGAAATACGTTTAGGACAGACCAGATATGGCCTTAATGCTAACATAAGCAAGGCTACCTACCACACACAGTTCAGCTTGGAGGGAAAATATGAAAACAGAAAAGTTACTTTTATGCTTCGTAGAAAGGTGAATGAGCTCACATTCTGATCAAGAGATTTTTAGCCACATAGCATCACTAGCACGGCTATGGGGGCAAAAAGCCACAGAAATGATGGAGAAAGAACAGATCCGTGCTGGCTACCACGCCCTTCAACTCCACTTGTCACAACTAGAGCTTGGTTTGACCATTGGACTTTTCTAGGACCTAGCTGACCCAATGGATCTTTTTGTTCCCTAAGGGACTCTAGCATCACTTTCCACTCCAAAAAAAAAGAAAAGAAAAGAAAAAAAGAACAGCCCCTCCACAACTGCCCTAGTTGGCTCCCGTGATCCGAAAGGGACTTGAGCTATTCCAGGCAGCAGCCTTCCTTTCTTCCTCCCTCCCTCCTCAGACTGGGGTTCAGTGATGCACCTGGTCATGGGGAGCTCTGGGGGGCACTGCATCGATGTGCTCTCACTGGCTGCTAGGCTGAGCTGCACCAGACTTTTCTCGTGACTGTTTCAGTGCCTTCACTATTTTCTTTTCTGGTTACCTTCAAGCCAGGGCGGGTACGAATCCTCTACTTAATATCCCTCACTCTGCTTTAAAGAACTGTGATTCCCTCCAGTCTCTTTGGCACCTGCCTTTTATTGCCCTCCGTACTCATTTAGACCCCTCCCATTAGACAAAGAATGAGAGGGAAAAGCAAAATCCTCTAAATATTCCAAGTTTGGGGGAATATAAGTGATTTTTAAAAACCCTGAAATTTGTCCTAATTTTGAAAAGTTCAAGAAAAGGAGTGTGTCCACAGGCTCAAAGGTTTCTTCTGGATGATCTGTTTCTGATGACAGCAGATGGAGCGTGTCTTACGAGGGCTGAACTTTATTCACTCTGTTAGTCAATCTAACCCAACGCTAAAGACCAAGTGCAAGTTAGGACTGCTCAGGTCAACTGTTGGCAGTTAGCAGCATGTCCGTCTCAATCTGATTACTGGCCTCTTTCTGTTTTAATTGCCAAGGGCCCCCTTTCTCATTTGCTTGGCACACGTCAGGGGTGTGTACAGAGGAAGGGGAACAAAAGGTCACTTTTTATTTGGTGGGAACCCAGCGCATGGTTTCCCCTCAGTAAAATGAGGAGAATGCCTCTGGAAGAGCCAGCCCATTCTTGATATATTCAAAGCTTGCTTTTTTTTTTTTTTTTTTAAAGAGCAATGTATATACTAACAGGCTATTGACCACTTAAGTGCCTTTCTCCTCTTACTGGAAGGGCCTGGAAATTCACGACCAAAGAAATTACACTACAAGGACAGTGGCGCCATTGTGCTAAAAACAATTTCAAAAGATGTTTGTCACCTTGAGAAGGAAAACATTAACACCCTGAAACCTTTAAAAGGCATCAGGCTGAACTGGGCGGCCGGACTAAGATCTGAAATGCATTGACTTATTTCAATACAATTAATAGCAGAACAAAGAATGTCCCGCTTTTTATCACATTTTTAAAACCAAATTATCTATTCTTGCTCTGTGTCGTCCCCCTCCATAACACACAGATACTCCCTAAAGCAGACTAAGCCTTTCTGATATTTACAAACACACAGTTTAAAATGATCAAAACAGTACATTTCAACACCACCTAGCAAACATGCACATTAATAATACTGCCCAATTTTGTACCTGTGACAAAATGCTGGTTAAAATCAATCAAATGGGAAAAGGCTGCTTGGATAAAAAAGCTGCATCCCTATTCCTTTTTCAGCTGGCATAGAATGGATGCAGCTGAACAGAACCTGTTTCACAATAGGAAACTCCTATGAAAAAAGAAATGAGTACGAGTGGGCAAAGATGAAGGGGTCAGTGGTTAAAATGCTGATCTCTTTATCCTTCCCGTTTACAAATAAGCCTTGAGATCACCATCTTAACTAGATTCAGAGTTAAGCCCAAACAATGCACTCAGGCACACACCCAAGAACAAGCAACACTGGGGGACTAAAAGAAATGTACATTTCATGATTCTCCATCTTATGGACCACTTCCGTCCACTCCCCCTGTCCCTTTTAAGCAAATAGGCTTTAAATTGGAAAATGTTATACACCCACTTAGAAGGCCACCATAACATGTGGGCACCTGAGGCACAATAGTAGCAAAGGGGAGAGACTCCAAAAGGGCAAGTTGTCCAGGACTCCCTGCCATTTCTCCAACAAAAGGCAGGTGAACACATTCATGCTCTGAGCAAGGGAACTTCTACCTTGAGAATCCTGTCACTTCTGGGCTTGTTCTAACTGGCTATCCACACTAGCCTGGTTTGTGGCAAGTAACAAACATTGTTCTAAGCCTGGTTCGTTTGCTGTGACCTGCTGACAGCTATGTAATTCACTCATTAGGGCTCTTTGACCTTTTAGTTGACATTAAATTAAACAGAGTAAACACTGATTTTTGTACAAGGTGAGTTCTAATATTTCAACCTAGAGTGTAACTGTTAAAAATGGCTGAAAATTTGTTATTTTCATAAAACGAAGTGTCATTTAGTCTAGCACACTCCCAAAGCTAGTGTTTCCATAATCTTTTGTTGGGATACCAAAAATATGTTTTTTTCCACTCTTTTGGAATCGAATCATTTGGATAATAGGGCAACAGCAGCAACACAGAGAATGCTAAGAGAACCAAAATGTTTGCAAACAAACTTTCATTATTCTAGTTCAGTCTTTCACAAACATACTGTACAGAGTCTTATATGGTATAAAACAAAGGAAAACATCTCTGTCTATTCAGTTTAACACAACACCAAAATAAAGCAATTAAGACTTTGGGGAATTCAAAGGTACAAGAAAACAAAAATGGTTAGCACTAATTCCTCAGCTTTTTTCACCGTAAACATTTGTCATTTAACAGACATAGTGTCTGATATAATTTCTTTTGTACTGCAAATACTTTTGGTCTCTCCTCACTGTAGAACAGATGAAGAATTAAATGAACCCCATAGCATGCTCTGAAGGAGATGAAAAGATAAAGCCCCTAGACACATCTAGCTTATCTTTAAGAATCTATCATTTGTGAAATTTTCACAAAGAAAAATACTGAATCCTCAACTAACGATGCTTATTTTTGGAAACAATAAATACTGTGAGGTAGGATAAATCCTACAGGAATAATAAAAAGAAACATATTAACAGTTTCCTTTGGCAAATTTAACGGAAGTGAATGCTGATGTGAACCTAGAAAGAAACTCACAAAACAGGAAAAATGGAAATAACATTAAAAGTTAAGACAGAGGGGGTATTTCTAACTTTTAGACTGCTGAGAGAAATGTTTGATGCCCTTAAATGCAGAAAAGAAATACATTCTCTTTAAATTACTGGGTACTGTTTGACAAAATATTCCTTGTTTATCTCTTTTTTCCCCCCTCCACTTAAAAAAAAAAAAAAGACAACAAAACACAGTCTGCAGCTCATACCCTAATGGTTTTGGCTGCAGACTGAACTTGAGTAAATATCATCATTTAGTCAGTATGTTGTGGTAGCTGAGGCTGCTGATGTGGTAAACCAGCTCAGGCAACATGTGTAAACATCGGAAACAAAACAAAACAAAACACAACAAAAAAGGTTTGGAGAATCCTCTCCCCTCCTCTTTCTCACTCTCGATTGCTTGGTTTCAGGCTTGCTTTCATTTCTCTCTGACAAATCGTGTGGGGAAACACAAAACACTGAACAGTGAGAGATCCTATTTTAAACCCCCTTCTTCTGGCTTTTCAGAAAGGAGTGTTGCTTAGTTCAAGTTCAGCACATGTTTGCAAAGCTTCCAAGTACTGCTGCTGCCGCTCTTAAAGGTCTTTGATTTTGTCTCTCAAACCCGCCTGAATCGGAGTACTACTGCGGAACGTGCAGTGAATTACATAGCCACACAACAGACCAACCCAGTTCAGACTTTGTCTTTTTAAAGGATTAAGGGTTAGGTCCTTGCGAATGAGTGCTCAACTCTTACTGGATTCAGCTTTGTTCCATAGTGAGTAATTTGGGCTTTTGTATCCTGAAATATTATCCAGCCTCTAAAGAATAAATGCCTTAGCTGTTTCACACCACATAATTTTGTTTTCCTTTTATGTAACTTAACATATAAGCAAGAAGGTTGCAGTGTTGATTGTAATAACATTCGGCACTTGAATCACCAAGTGTTTTTTTCTAAAGCGGTTTTCTGGTGGCCGACAAATTGGCCTGTGGTTATGTTGAGTGACTAATTGTATTTTCTTTTCTGGAAACTTGTGCAAAGTTGGCAGTTTTGTGTTAACACTAATACTTTTGTTTGGCATTTGTGCCCTATACTGACCAGACCATTTTTATACAAGTGAATTTTTTTAAAAAGACACTTACTCGAAGTATGGCAATAGTTTAAGGATAAAAAAGAAGCATGGATATTACACATCCCCTTGTAGTGTATGAAAAAAAGTGCATGACTGGATTTATGTACTAGTACAGGACATTTTAAAAAATCAGATCTGTGCTGTAAGGCATGCCAGCACCTCTTTATCACTATATCTAGCAGGTAGTAAAAACAAGACCATGTTTTTTTTTTTTTCCTTAAAAAATGTGCATTAATGCTAACATAAATGAATAGAGCTAGCCAGCAAACTATTTTTTTTTTTCCTGTATATCTAACAGCTGATGTAACTGTAAAAAATTAAACAAAAGAGCTAAACAACCATCAATACAACTGTTTTACATCATTGGCCTCTCAAGGCTAAATATTTACAGGTGAATCTGCCATGCTTTAATTGAAGATTCTCTCAAAACCTTAAAGTTCACAAAAGACAACTATAAGGAGTTCCTTTTTTGTTTCTTTTTGTTCCTCCCTTTTATTTTTTTTGCAGGCAACAGTCATGGGTACAACAAATTGTCTCTTTGGAGAGGACCAGGAATTATTATTCTGTCAAAATTTGGGCTAGTTGCACGCTTTTATGTGTGGATGTGTGTATACGTGTTTAAAGGGTACTTTGTTTTCACCCCCAAATGAAAGATCCGACCTATAAAGGAAAAAGAGAAAAAAACTTCAAAAGCACCTAGTGTTTATCTTTTTGTATCTAAAGAAAAGAAAACGTGTGTGTGTGTGTGTGTGTGTATATGTAGACACAGAGGCATACGTGTGTATACGCACACACATATACACACACACCATCCCAAGTACACAAGCACACACTGACTATGGCAGTTCAAATACGTAGGCCATCTGGTGAGAGCTGGCATTTGTAGTGTCCTTTCTGAGACTAATCTACCGAAGTGAAGGGAATGTTTTTGTGGAGATTAGGGTTCTGACTGTGCCGATTCCGGCTTCGCACAGAGGAGAACATCATATTGCAACCGGGGACTTTGCACTTGTGCATTTCTCGCAAATGCACGGTTTTGTAGTGCACTCGCAGGGTCCCCTTGTTGCTGTACATCTTGTGGCAAATGTTGCACATGATCCCACCATTGCTCCCGGACAAGCTGTTGAACATCAGAGATCCTGAAACGTCAGCCCCGAGGCTGCCAGCGAGGGTGGGGACCTCGGCCTTGTGCGCCGACTCCCCACTGTCACTCGCCCCGTCGATGTCATCCAGGAGGATCCCCTCGTCGCTGCCTGCGTCGGATTCTCTGGAGGAATGGATGCTGCTGCTGGACTGGAGGCTGGAGGTGGTGCTCAGGTCCAGGACCATGTAGTCCTCCGCCATGCCCCTCCCGTACCCGTTCAGGTGGGAGTCTTCTGTCCCCGCGGGAGAGGAGGCGTCTTCCCTGACGTCGAGCCCCAAGGGGTGCTGGGCACCATAGATCTTCATCAAAAATTCATCCCGGAGGTCCTTGCTAAGGGAGGGCTGCGATGAGTCCAGGCCCATGTCATCGAGTTCTTTGGTCAACAGTTTACGATGGAGATTGATGTTGGCACTGTGTCTAGGAAAACAAGAGGGAAGGGGGGGGGTAGGTGTACAGGGAGTGGGGAGGGTGAGAAAAAGGAGAGCATTTTAAAATTGATTCAGCTTCCACTAGGTACCACATAAGCACATTCATTGCTAATGACACCCCTGTAAAAGCAAACATTTCCCCACATCCTCAGGATTTGGGAATAAGTGGTGGTGGGGAGTGCAATAAGGGGAGCTTTTCATTAACATAATTTTTATAAGAGAGTAAAATTCCTCAGTGGTAGGATGAATGCAAACCCATGCACCTTTTCCTGAATGATTGTTCTGTTCGTTTTACACTGTAGCAGCATCAGCTGCAGAGAATCTCACAGCAGAGATTTGAAAAAATACATTAAATAGGATAAAAGGATGGAAACGTTCTGCTTGTCTAAACTGAACAATTTGAATTTACCTAAAAACAAAACAAAGCCTTTTTTTTCTAGAGCAAACACTTTTAAAGGTGTAAAAAGGATCCTTTTTTAGAAAAAGTAAATGGTCTAGATAATTTAGGGTTCACTTGACAAAATAATGACTCGTTCCCCCTCACCTTCCTACACTGCAAGTTTTAGGTAGGAAAAACAATAAGCTTAAAAGGTTAGCAATTTGAAATAGGGTTACAGACTGTCTTTAAACATAAATCCCTTTTTGCAGAATGGGATCTCAGCTAAGTCTAATAGTAAAATACATTTATTTTCAGAAGCTGCTACCTTTTAGAGTTGAAAATGTTTTCAAGTACTTTAAGTTTTAAAATTTAATTCTTAAAAAAAAAAAAACCCTGAAAAACAGAAGTTGACTTTTTAAATAAAACCCACCCACCCTTTAAAAACATCACACTCAACAACAGAAAAAAACCCAGAGGGACCGAAAAAGAAAAAAAACCCCACACAATAAATACAAAAAAAAAAAAAAAAAAAAAAAAATCAAGCACGATAATAACACATGGTCCCTCTATTTTAACAACTGGAGTCCATACTTCTTAGACAAGCAAAACTTTTACTCTACTCACTGAATGCTTTGCTTGCATTAAAAAAAAGAAAAAAAAAGATAGGATTTGTCCCAGAGCATCCATAGGGATGTCATGATTTACCGAAGCCTGATAGGTTATTATCCGTCTGAAAACATTGCCTTTGTATTTATATCCCCCATTTATTTTTAAAGTGCCCTTGGGCATATACCTCTCTCCACCTGCAAAGGCTCACGTGTGACACGTACCTAAATTGAAGGCTACCCTTCCAAAAAGTAAACCAGTAAATAAATATACAGATACATAAAAGCTTCTCGATAATGGCAGAAGCTCTACCTCTTAGAGAAGTAATTGTGATAACCGAAATTGATAATAGAAATGACCTAGAATGGCCAGCATCAAGTTCAACAGACCACCTGATTAGAATTAAAAAGTATGGGCGACCGAGATGAGTCACTCCATTTGGTGACGAGCATGGCTAATATCTCTTAGAGATGGTTGAGAGGTATGTGCCTCAGAGACAAGAAAGGTGGGAAACACTTCTCCACCTTTCCACACAAGACAATATACAGCACTCCGGGTTTGAAGGGGCAGAGGGGCGGCAGCCCCTCCACGCTGCACTTAGGAAGGCTGAGCTTACCTTGTGATAATAAGATCAGCTTTCTAATCTTTTGCTAAATCGATCACAAAAGAAAGCAAGAATGAGAGACAGAGAAAAAGAGAGAGAAGGAGAGAGAGAGAGAAAACAAATTCACATTCTAGACATCTGGTTTAAAAAAAAAACTTAAACAATAACATAGGGATTTAAAATGTTCTGATCATAAAATCATTTTCTGTCATAAGCGATCATCTCATATGCTGTCTCGATGATTTTTCAGATCAGCCGCATCATCCAAAAAGTCATACATCAAATTAAGATAAACCAAATTCACAGCATCATCATCGTCCATAAATGAGCTCTGCACAGATGCATGCAGTGTGCGGCTATGTGAATGATGAACAGAAGTGGTCCCCACGGTCCCTGCTCTGACACAGTCGCTCCCCGTCTCCTTGGTGTCAGATGGCAGATGACTCCAAGTGCGGGTTGCTAAGCAGAGTGTAGGAAATGCCTACTGTGAAGTCTTTCCCCTGACATGTAGGTATGACACCACCAGAGTTATTACAGGAATGTGGAAGCAGAGTGACAGTACATACTGTCAAACAATCTACTGATAAAACAATCTGCCGACCACAAGCAGCTCACGAAGTCCCACCCCTGTGTATTATTTTTAACACCCTCCCTCCCCTCCCTTTCTTAATTTCACAAGCACACATTTTGCGATGACTTTAATCTAGAACTCCGTTGCTTCTCACACATCTGCAGTTACCTAGATTCACTGCTGAGAAAACAACAGCCAGACACACAGCAGTTACATCAAGACACACTGAATAAGGAAGAATAAATTAACATCGACAAAAGGGACACACCGATCCCCCAGACGGACACATCTTTTCGAAGATGACTTGTGAAATTGCACATCTCCACTGCTATGTTACCAGGAAGAGATGTTTCTCTTCATTTCTCACTTAACAGCAATGGAAATCTGTAATATAATTAGATGATGTACCAGCCCTCAATATCTGTCAACCGAACAATGTGCAGAAATGTGTGGACCAGCTCTGGCACTCTGTTCAACAGTGTCCCTTTTCCGCTGTCAGCAGTACTGTTGGCCTCCGCTAATATAATTACTTTGGCTGTTATTCAATTAAGTGCCATCCCTTGCTTAAGAAAAAAAGCTACTTTATCAATTGATTCAGGTGTAATGCAATAATAAAGATGAACTCATGGCAGTGCATTAGCTCTGCTGTTCATAACTTCAGTACACGGGTTCATTCGTGGTAGTCGATTTCCATTATGCAACCACAGTTCAAGAGAATTGATTATGTTCATTTCGTAATCTGTTTCATTTTTTGTTTGATAATCCTCCTAAATGCCATACGCAAAATACTTGAACTGGGGATGGGAAGAACGTGCTGTGGAAAGCTTACTGGTCCACTCTCATGATGGTGGGTTTGTTCTAACTAACTCCAGTACTACTGGGGTGGAAAGAGGCAAAGCAAGAGAAGGAGGGGGAGAGGAGACAGATTCTTTAGAGAGTCCCGATCCTGTGCCTCAAGAGGTTAGGTTCAGCCTCCACAGAATGGACAAAAGGCAGCACTTGATGTTAACAGAGACCTGGACTCAAGTCAATCCAAACCCTGAACTGTCAGAGAACACTGCCCAAGGAGGAGAGACAAACACCTGGGGTTAACAGCAACCTACAAGTTTACGTGGATCAGAAAACCAAAGAGGTGAAAGGAAAGGGAAGACGGAAGAGACACAGAGAGAAGTCACGCCAACGGACTATCGGACGTACAGGGAGGAGGATCCTAAAATGGGAGGAAGACCAGAGAGTGCTGGAAACGGGAGGACCCGCAGCCGAGGAAGCAGTAGGCAGCTGTCTGTAAGGAGGAGAAGGGGGACTCCAGAAAGGAACCAACTCCGAGTTCTCCAGAGAGTTTTTCTAGAAAATAAACCTAGTGTTCTGAATATTTATCTCCAGAAAAGAGGAAAAAATAATCATGAACAAAAACCATGTTAGAACTTACTATATTTTATAAGAATGTCAACAGTCCAAAAGCTGTTTCTATTTGCTTTGATTAGGTAGGTAATACCGATACTCCGGGGAGGCAGCTTCCTCTTACAGAAAAAACAAAAATGACTGGGATGAAGAGAAAAGGTGAGTTGATAAGTAGAAGGGGTAAGGATCTGATCTCACTGGGGATCTCGTCAAGAGAGTAGGCCAAGATTTAGTCCCAAGATGGTCACATTCAAGAAGAACGTAAGCTATACCTGATTCAACCTCAAGTCTCTTGCAGCTCAAGTAGAATACTTTGCACTTCGGACATAATTACATTTATTTGACTTCAATCAATAATATGCAGCCTTACAGAAACTTTCCCCAGAATACATTGTGGAAGAGAAAACAATGATCCCAAGATTGGAAGCATGTAACTGAATATTTAAGAAAAGACACTGATAATACAGCAGAGAATAATTCTGACCCTATCACACCCCACCGTGGTGTAAGGTAATGATATATAATTAGGGCATGACACAGTCCTATAACCTAGGCTATGCTTGGAATCACAAATGTTTCCTCTGACCCTCTGTACTCTTCCCTACTCTTTCTGTACTGAGTTTACCAAAAAGCCTCTTGAAAACTGAGAGCACCCTCAAAAGCAAAAAAGTTATGAAGCCTATACGATATAGGGGAGGTCATAAAACCAAACTTACTCCGTGAAATGCTGAGTGGAAGTACTCTAGCTGGACTAAAGTGGACTACCAGTCTTTTTCGGTTTCTTTAATGAAAACATGTCAATTATATTCAGTTTAAAAAAAAAGAAAAAAAAACTTTACCATGCAACCACAGAAGACACCAAATCCAACACAGTCAAGCAAATGCAAGTGCCCTTTAGAGAAAGTCAGTCCTGTCTTGAGCTTTTCTTTTCTCACGTTTCTCTTTCCAAGCTTCTTCAAGTGCCCAGTTCAACTTAATGCAATGTTTAATCATAAAAATAAAAATTAAACACATTAAATACATTGAAAAGAAAAAGCGTTTTGAGATTTTAACTTTGGTTTTGAGAGGAAGGAACTTTAAAGAAAAAGTCTCATGAGCAAATTAGAAAATCAGAATGTGGTTGTCCACAGTGAATAGTAAGTCAAGCTATAGGTTACATGAGAAACTGAATCTAACCTTAATTCTTAATCAGTTCTGAGCCATTCTAACCTTAGCGAACTGAAACAAAATACTTGATAATTACAAAGCCTCAGGTGAAATGGAATTGAGGCTCCATGTTGGAGCTTTTGCCTCTCCACACACACACACACACACACACACACACACACACACACACTTCTCAAATTATATTGTCCAGAATGATCCTAGTGATGTATACACAGCAGATACCACTATATATATGGGGTGTGTGTGTATGTGTGTGTATAT